TAAACATACTGAGATAGATTGGCGGGGACAGACACGAACGAGCTGAGGGGAGACAGAAACGGGTGACATGAAGAGAGACAAAAGCCAGAGATAACTATCTGACTAGTCTTTAGAGTTAATTACTTCTTTTTTTGTTTGGCCGTCCCAGTTTGATTACAAGACAAAATTCCCAATTTTCAAAGCAGACTCTCATCACTTCGATGTTTGTGGGATAATTTTAACATAGCTTAAGCTAGCGCAAGACCTCCAGTGACGACTGAACTTCCTTCTCCAATTTGGAGGAGGTTGTAATAAACTGTTATCCGCGAGGATTAGACATAACTCATACTATAAGAAACAAATTTCTGGCCTTTTTTTTTTAAGTCTATCACCCCAAACAAGGCGGGATTGCCACTAGTACGCAAGGGCTTACAGACAGTGAAAGTATCCCTAAAAGGAATGCTTCCATCATTGGAAACGCCGCTGGATAAAGAGTGTGTCTTCAGAAGGGGACTACTTCGAAGGAGATTAAATGCCGACTTGATAAGTGTTGTAGTTTTTTCCCGATATATTTTGGGTCAGATTTCGTATTAACTAGCTACAATCAACTGAAAGCAAGTCGGGAGTGACACTAGCACGCAAGGGGTTAGAGAGAGTGAAAGTAAGAGTAACGAGAGGTGTTTGAAGAAGATGTCGATTGACATTACATTTGTATATTTGAAGATTATAGCTATCAGGGAAGCAAATAGGAGGAAGGGAGTTCCACTGTCAGGAAGTGCGAGAGAAGAAGCTGTTGGAGTAGAAGAGGCGGTTACATTAAAATGTTTCGACAGTGAAAGGGTGGAACTGAGATGCCAACCTAGTAGCACGCTTAAATTCATGCAGTTGGGGTACCAGTGGAAGTAGCTCGTCAGAGAAGTTGTCATGAGAATATTTGTAGTAAAGACAGAGGGAATCCACAGCACGTCAGTGAGAAAGTAACTGTTGGCGAGATGCCAGATCAGGACCTATCACGTTGCATATCCGTCTCGAGATGAACAGCGGGGGCACCAGACCATATATGGCAACAGTATTCAATGCAAGGTTGAATGGTTGATTTATAGACGAGCTTGAAACAGAAACAGTATTATTCTGTTTCACTCATGATGACTTTGATCTGACTCCTCGCATCACCGTCACTTGATGTTGATAATTTTTTTTTAAAATCATTTCACCCCAAGCAAGGCAATAATACCACTAAGACGCTAGCGGTTAGCGAGAGTGAAAGAAAATGAAAAGGCTCTGGTGAGGGGAGAGGACAATAAAAGAACAGATTTCAGAAAGTCATAAGATGGCGGTTGATGTTGCATTTAAATTTTTGAAGATTGTAGTTGGCAGGGAAGCAAGAAATCGGAAGGGAGTTCCACAGGCGACAAGTGCGAGAAAAGAAACTATCAGCTAGATTTAACTGTAAGCGAAGAAACCTAGTTGTCAATCTTGTAGTACGCTTGAAAACATTTATAGAAAAGGCAGAGCGAAGCCACGTTTACAATTGAAGTCGAGATGCCAGATCAGTACCGATAACATTACAGGCTCTTCTTGGATTTTGACGAGTATCTCGAGATATGAGGACGGAAGACCAAACCAGATATGGTAGGCATATTCAATGCACGTGTGAATGGTATATTTATAAATGCGTAAGATAGATTCTCTTGATAAAAATTTTTCTGATAAAACACAGTGAACCAAAATTTCTGGCAGCTGATCTAGTAATTGAGTTAATATAATCACTCCATTTCATGTCAGGGGGAAAGCGTGAGACTAAAAAGGGGCCATGAGTTACTCTTTTAATGGTTAGCATCAGCCATAATAATGGAAGGCGGCAAAGGTTTTCTATAGTTATTAAGAGATAGCAGTTTTGTTTTTAGAGGCATTGACAAACAATTCCTTGTGTAAAACCGTATCCTCACCCCACTGGACCCACACACTCTGCAAGACCGGCCGTTTGTCCGGTATGGTCCAGTATTACAGGTTAGACACGTCTGCGCTTCCTAATGTCAATTCGAAGCCACCTTCCACCTAAGTTGTGATTGTTTTGATCCCGGAGATTGGTCATCAGATCGTAGAAATCCGGAAGCTCCCCTTTGGTCCACCTACGAGTTCGTCGGTTGAGAATCGGATTAATAGAAAAATAAATATAACCAAGTCGATTCGATTTTGAAATGACAAATGTTTTTTCTTATATATATATAAAAGCAAACACACACACACAATAATTCTTGTTACACAAGGTTGAATGTTTCTTGTATGTGAACAATAACCAAACAAACTAAATACTTCAAATAATTTCGGTAAGGAAATATGAGGCCTTCGTTTTAACCCTTTTTGGTCTGTTCTTAGCGTGACTACTACAACCTTCGATATTCCCCTTCTCAGTAGTCGTAATAGTATTATTATTATTAGTAACAGGAGTATCGGTACTTAGATGTTAGAGGCGGTATTTTGCTTCTTCGCCCTCATCTTTAGCAACACACAGCGGGCGCTTCCTTTTCAATCTCTGACGTCTCTCCACTCAGTTCGACTGCATTCGAAGACAGACGAACCCAAAACTCTCTCTCTTTTCCGGTTGGTTCGCCTCTTTATTAAGAGAACCGACTTCAGACTGGTGACGTATCTGTTTTTCTAGTGCGAACGTACTGGCATACTACCAATGTACAACTTCACTCCTCTGAGAATAAACAATTTACTTTTTCATTGATTGATTCCCAAGGTTCCCAGCAAGACGCTATTTTTTTATCACCTCGCTATTAATTATTCTGCCGCTCTTTGTAAATTACAGAGATTCTTGTTTTAAAAATAAATTCTAGATCAAAACATCCTTAATTTTAACTTCGATTCTTATAGGGTCAAAATTAATTTCTTTGTTTAAAAGTTCCAAATTATTATTGTACCAGTAATTTTCTATTAGTAATCTGATACCCTTTGTACACTTACAAAAAGATTGTATTTCGTGTTCTAAATGAACTTTCTGTAACATTTACATTTCAAAACTTTACAGCATATTAATATCTTGGTCATTCGAAAACCCCTCTCTTTCACTTGGTATTTTCTGTTTTACTTATTATCATTATTATAATTTCAGGAGTGATATCGCTACTGCTACACTTGCCCCAATAATTAACTGACTGAGGGTAATTTGCGAAACCGTTGTTGACTATTGAATCTATGTAATCATCAGCCGAACAGTAGTAATAAGTGATGAACTCACATATTACTCTCAGTCAATCCCGTAGATTCCCTCAAGAGCGTGAATCCACAGCTCCCGAGACACGTAGACGTCCTAAGGAGTGTGGGGACCACAGATCCGGGAACCCGTAGTCTCCCTGAGAATTGTGGGGTCACAGCTCTCAAGCCCCAGAGACTCGCTGAAGAATTTCGGGCTCCAGCTCTCGTGTCCCGTAGACTCTCTGATGAGTATAGGAGCACCGTTCTCAAGTCCCTTAAATTCCCTCAAGAGCGTAAACCCACAGCTCTCGAGTCATGTAGACGCCGTAAGGAGTGTAGATGCCACAGTTCCGAGCTCCCGTAGACTCCCTGAGGATTGTGGGGCCACAGATATCAAGTCCCAGAGACATGGCGAGGATTTTGTGACCATAGCTCTCGAGTTGCGTAAATTCACTGAGAAGTTCGGGACCACAGATCTCGAGTGGCGTAAATTCGTTGAGGTGTTCGGGACCAGAGATCTTGAGTCGCGTAAATTCGTTGAGGTGTTCGGGACCATAGCTTTCGAGATGCGTAGACTCGCTGAGGAGTTCGGCACCACATCTTTCGAGTCGCGACGACTCACTGAAGAGTTCGGGACCACAGCTCTCGAGTCGCGTAGACTCGCTGAGAAGTTCGGGACCACAGGTCTCGAGTCGCGTAGCCTCGCTGAGGAGTTCGGGGCCATAGCTTTCAAGATGCGTAGACTCGCTGAGGAGTTCGGCACCACATCTTTCGAGTCGCGATGACTCGCTGAGGAGTTCGGGACCACAGCTCTCGAGTCGCGTAGACTCGGGACACAGGTCTCGAGAGCCTCAGGGACCACATCATTCGAGTCGCAACGACTCGCTGAGGAGTTCGGGACCACATCTTTCGCGAGACTCGCGATAAATTTGCTGAGTCGCGTAGTTCGCAGGATCACACCCCAAAAATTTGTCCTGTAGACTCAGTCCTGAGATAAGTTACTAGCGCCATACCAATATTGCAGTGACATTCACTTAACCAAAAGTAAATTATTTACTGAAATACTTGTAATTTGAGAGATCACCCGCCCCAATTACAAGAGAATAAATGATGCTTGTAACTCAATCTCTCGGCTTTGTATGGCTACTGTCGGTTATTTTGAAGTCTTATCTCCAGACGACATTTTAGCATAAATACCAAATGCTTTCATTTTATAGCTTACTGTCAGCATTGCCCGGCGTTGCCCGTGCTTGATTCAAAAATCGTACGACTCATACAGCAATCGCTATCACTTAACTTAAAATATTTTTGCCCTTCCCTGCCTTTAAAGGAGTGCCCTTTGACGTGCTGATGTTGCTACATGCCTTATTTCTTGCCTATCTCACACTGTGAATTTTTTCTAAGCTCTATACTAAACATTAAATCTGTTACGAAAAAAGAGGAAACAAAATGAAGACAAAACGATCAGCTTTAAAAAAGGACTCGTAACTAGAAAAACCGAATGAAAAAAAATGTTAACAACAAATACTTTTTTACACCCAACCCAGTTCTGCGGAATCAGAATCAACGTTGAGTTTAAGCAAGCGAATGAGCCAATTGGAGTAAAGTGCCATGCAGAATTAAATTTTCCCCACTTGTGACGAAAGCAGCTATCGATATTTTTGCATGCTAGCATGCTAGTTAACATTCGTGTCAGTCAGCTGTTGGCTCTCACGCTGGCCAATACAATCTTCCTGCCTATTCGTGGCAGCCAGCTATTAGCTCTCACTCTGGCCAGTAGAAAATGGCCGCAAACTACATGAAAACTGCAGTAGAAGCATGAAAAACTCGATTATTTCCACTATGGATGGGAGTTGGGAAATGCAAAGTCGGTCTTGGCCTTCCCGCTAACTTGAAACATGTGCATGTAAATTTTGGCGCAAATCCGTCGAAAATTGCGGCCGTGCATTCGTTACACACACACACACACACACACACACACACACACACACACACACACACACACACACACACACATATCCTGCCTTTTATAGATAGAGATTATTTTTTCTTGAAGATCATAGTGATTGGTACCGACTAATATCCTCATCTTTGTTGGTATCATCAGAAAAATTATCCTGTTGTACTCTCTACATTTTTTTTTTTAATTTAATTTTTTTTAGGTGACTTCCAGGAATTTCGAATTTAACACTTTATTTAATTTAGACATGCAGATTGTTCTAATTCTTTTTTTCTCGCCTTGGAGATATTCTTTGCACGGTTACTACCTACTCTAGTTCAGAGGAAGAAATGGAAAAAACGGCGCAAAGACTGATATGAAATAACGATGAAGTCTGGAAAATTCTATCCCCGGCCTGAAAGAAAGTTGAAGTTCGTAGACAGACACATGAAGATGTTCGGAACGTTTTTTTGTCATATACATTATTTGTCTATATTTCTGAGATGAAGTATTGTAACTGTTTACACTATTTAATCAATTTAATATGACAATAAAGATGAGGACAGTTGTCCTCATATTTATTGTCATATTAACAAAGTTTCGGCCGTTTTACGCTTCGGCCTTCTTCATGATCTGTCTATATTTCTGAGATGAGGTATTGTAACTATTTACACTATTTATATCATTCGGATTGTTGTCCTCATCTTTATTGTCATATTAACAACGTTTCGGCCGTTGTACTCTCCGGCCTTCTTCATGATCTGTCTATATTTCTGAGATGAGGTATTGTAACTATTTACACGATTTGACCAATTGTCCTCATCTTCATTGTCGTATTCAGGACGTTTCAGCCGTTGTACACTCCGGCCTTCTTCAGGTGATATACGTTGGAATTAAGTTTGTTCTACTTCCACGGGGATATCTCAGTTTCAGTTATCTCCCTTTAGTCATTCAGCTCTCCGAGTTTTCATTCACCTCTGCTGTGGCCAGGGACTGAACTCACAACTATTTGGGTCACGTCACTGAATTACTCCAACCAGTGCTTTTATCCACTAGGCCATGTGTCCAGTAACTTGATCTGAAGAGTTGTGAGTTCAATACCTGACCACGGTAGAGGTGAACAAAATCCTAGAGAGTTGAGTTACTAAAGGGAATTAACTTCTCGACAATGGAACTCCCTTTCTCTTACTTGCTTCCCTGATAGCTATAATCTTCAATTATTCAAATGTAATGTCAATCGACATCTTCTGATGCGTTGATCTTGATCCCAGTCCTTTTCTTTATCCTTTCCTCAAACCTACTCTTATTCTCACCCTCTGTAACCCTTGCGTGCTAGTGGCACCCTCAACTTGTTTGGGGGTGGGAAATAATTAAAAATATCAGTTGATTGTAGCTAGTTAATACGAAATCTGACCAAAAATGTATCGGGACTGGTGGTAAAACAAGAAAACTACAACACATATCTAGTCGGCATTTAATCTCCTTCGAAGTAGTCCCCTTCTGAAGACACACTCTTTATCCAGCGGCGTTTCCAATGATGGAAGCATTCGTGGAATTCCTTTTAGGGATAGCATGCAACTGGCTTGTCGCATTCTTTTGGATTTCGTCCACGTCTTGAAATCTTTTTCCTTTCAAGTGGGGTATGATTTTTGAAAAGAGGAAAAAGTCGCACCTTGCAAAATCTGGAGAATATGGTCGTTGTCGAAACTGAGGAAAGGTTGTCCTTCACCCAAAATTGCTGCATAAGCCGCGATCACTGATAGAACCTCTGTGGTGTGGTGAGACAACCACACTCTACACACTTTCCTTCCAAGCATTGGTTTTAAACAACGGAAGTGAGCGAAGACATTATAACTTAGGGTATATATACTACAGAGTCCAAGGTCACCAAGCAGCTTCGCTCTGCATACTTTAGCTTCGTTGCTATATCAACAGTCTCGATACTTTTTGATCAGACCTTGTATTCTTCGGATATCACCGACATCTTTGACTGAACTTTTACATAAAACAATTCAATAGTAAAAAAAAAAACCAAAAACTGGAAGCCTTAAATTTAATATTAGTTGTCTGACTCTACCGGTAAACGAGTGTATATGACGTCATATTATTTTATTGTTAATGAAAGGCTCCAGGACGTTCTCATTTATATGCTAGGCTTACTGATTGGGTTACTACAGCCTAACAAGTTCGTTTATTTTGGCAGTCGTTTAACTTTCCATTTCTATTCTCTATTATTTCAAACTTTAGTGAATGGCTTACAGCCATATCACGTTGAAACATTGGTTCTCTTGTAAGTTAAGCAATGTCGAGTCTGGTCAATACCTAGATGGGTGACCGCTTGGAAGTATCAGGTGCTTGGATGTGCAGGTGGATAATGGCACAAGACTGGAAATCGGAGAACCGAGTTCTAATCACAGTCAGGCACATTATATTTATTTCCGCGCAAATACTGATGGGAAATGCATGAATCCACCTCTTCTTCCCCCAGATATGGGTTAAATAGTATGGATTGTATCAGTAAATTATTATCATCTCTAAAAGACTCTGACAATCTAAAAATATTTTTGGTATTAAATAACCTACTAAAGGTTGATAAACCGTAAAATCCAAATCAACGAAATGAAAATATTTTCTGGGTCTAGAGTGCTTATTTAGATACTCCAAAGAATATTTTAAGGAAGCCTTTACATACACTCCGCTTTTTTCTTTTCCGATAAATACCTTTCAAATAAACAAATTCTTTCTATTTATTTTCACATTGCGTCTAATGAATCTACGATTTAACCCACTTTACCGCCATTTATTGACGTTGACGATAACGGCTCTCCACATAAGTAACTTTACATTACCTGGTGTGAATTAACAGAAAAGATCCTATATCTTTTGAAATTTGTCTCGTAGGAATCAATGAATTGTGTTCCTTTTGTTTCGGGGCTGATTTTGGATATTAGTGAAAGATTTAAGTACTCGGACAGAGATCGAACACGGGATACTGAATTTGTTCGCTGTATTGGCTAAAGGCTCAGTGATGGCCGAGTCCACATGTCAGTCGGCTGGCTGATTATACACCAGACTAACATTTATTGCTTTATCCTGATATTTCTATCGCGATGATTTTGATTTTTTTTTTTACCGGAAGTCATGGTAGTATCTATAGGAACAAGATGGTTTACAGTGTCTCTTAACCAAAAATGGCGGGTGTTTGCTTTTCGGTTGAGGAAATTACTTTTTGTGAAACTTGGAGGTTTAATCTTCAGGTAAGAATAGACTATTATTATTTATCCTGTCAAATGTTGATGGTTATTTCTTTGTTAAATGTTTTCGTGAACTGTGAGTAAATATGTATGTTATGATTAACACATTGCTTTTCCAAGACCGGGTAAAATCAACTTCAGCATCGATATACATCTCTCGTATAACTTTGTCTCACATGTTTTAATATTGAGCTTCTATCTTTTAAAATTTGTCTCGTAGGAGTCAATGAATTGTGTTTCTTTTCTTTCAGGGCTGATTTATTATTTATGCTCTAAAATGTTGGTTATTCCTTTGTTAAATGACTTTATTAATTGTTAACTATAAAAAATATGTGTATTTAGATTTTCAACTTTGTTTTTCTCTCTGGTTCCTTTATGTTGAATGTTTGTTGTTCGTTCGACGTCTCAGCGAATTTGTACAATAGACATTGAGACCAATAATGATACTTTCTTTTTCAATTCTTTTTCATATCACTGTATATAAAGCACTCCAATTTATGAATATCTATTTAAGAAAATGTTAAATTTTCTAAAAATTAACAGCGGGCTGACTTTGCAATGTAACATTGTAAATTAATTCCCCCCCCTACGA